TCCGTGGCAGCTGCGCTGTGTTAGAGAAGCTGACTCGCCAACACGCCATCAGCTCTCTCCACCTGTCGGTTGTGTCGGTGGAGGAGTGTGGTCTGGCTGTCGGGGCTGTGGTGGGATATGGCAGAGTTAAATCTGCCTCCCGCATGAACAGTGCAGTGGTTATTTTTTTAGACTGCACGGAGAAAGCTAACCAGCTGGTGGAGAGCGGGCTAGTGATTAAAGGGACACTGTTACCCGTGCTACCCCTTGTCACTCCAGCTAAAAAATCTCTAATGTACCCCCGTTTCTGAGAAACGAGTTGTTGGAGAGAGAGCTAGCTCGACACGGGCAGCTTGCGTCTCCCATTAAGTTGATCCCCCTGGGCTGCAAATCCCCGCACCTCAAGCACATTGTGTCTTATAGGAGACAGGTACTTATGGTCCTGAAAAAGGATGGAAGGGGAAACTAAATCTGGCTCTCAAGTTTAAAATTGATGATTTTGTGTATACTGTCCATGTTACGTCTGACATTTTGAAATGTTATGGTTGTAGAGCGGCAGGACACCTGATTCGCGCGTGCCCGGAGAGGGCGGGTGACGCGCCCGTGTTGTCCGCGCTCGCCGCCGGCCCGCCGGTGCCCGCGGCGGAGCCGCTACCGGTTGCCTTGTCCACGGCCGGGCCGCCGGTGCTGGGGTCCGCGCCCGCGGCGGAGCCGCTGCCGGTTGCTTTGTCCACGGCCGGGCCCGCGCCCGCGGCGGAAATGCCGGTGGTGGAACCGCAGGTCAGTCGGTCCGTGGCAGAGCCAACGGTTCCACACGTAGAAAGCACACAGGCAGCAGGTACACACAGTATCACACACACAGACACTCAGGTCACACAGAAAACAGATAGTGAGCACACTGCAGCCAGAGTGGCTGAGTCTGTTCTGGAGGATGTGGTAATGGATGAGGATTTGTTAAGGTTACCTGTTAAAAGGAAAAACGAAACAAGTGAGCAAAGGAACTGTGGCTCAGAAAGGAAGGTTGTCAAAGAAGGAGTCGATGTGTTCCTCCTCTCAGCCAGAGGGAGTCCCAGAGGACTCAGAGGACAGTGACAGCGAGTCATTCTTTGACATCGTTGAGGGTAGCAAAGGGAGAGGGAGTATTCTTCCAGAGGATCAGATCCTTTCTGGCGGAAAACTAAGGGGTGAAATTAGATGACTTTTTTGCAGATTTGCAGATCTTCCACAATACTGCCAGGGTTCTCATGCGGCGCAAAGAAGCCTTAGGGGAACCTTTCTTCAGCGGCCCAGAGAAGGCTCGGTTTAAGAAGAGACTTCAGGAGGATTAGAGGGGAAACTGCAAGAATGATGAATAAGTACATCTTGGTTTTTATTTTTTATTTTTCTTCAGCCAGGTTTTTGATTTTGTTAGGATGCAACTATAATTTCATTATGAGTGACATAAAGCTGGGCTCTCTAAACATTAACGGTGCTCGAGGGGATGCTAAGAGAGCATATTGATTTACTTTATTAGGAAACAAGAGTTTAAATGTAAAGTTTCTCCAGGAAACTCACAGCACTGCTGAGAACGAGAGTGACTGGAGGAGGGAATGGGGGGGGGAGGGCTTCTTCAGCCATAGGCGCAGCAATAGTGGAGGGGTTGCCATTCTCTTTGCGAGGGGCTTTACACCCTTCTCCTGTACGGTCGATGAGATCATCCCAGGACACTTGCTCAAAATAAATGCTGAATTTGAAAAAGTTAAAATATGTTTTATAAATATTTATGCTCCCAGTGTGGGCGCAGAGAGGCTTTTGTTTTTTGAGAAACTGAAACACACTCTTAGCACCTGTGATAGTGGGGAGTATCTGTTCCTGGGGGGTGACTTCAACAGAGAACCCCGTGCTGGATAGGAACCACCAGGAACCGCATGCTGCCTCGAAGAGTGCCTTAATAAGACTAACAGAAAGCTTTGAGCTGTGTGATGTTTGGAGGCACTTCCACCCGGGCCAGCGGCAGTACAGGTGGGTGCACTCTAGGCCTAACCTGTTGTCTCTGGCCAGGCTGGATCGTGTCTATGTTTTTAACCATCACATTAATGTAAGCAGAAGCTGCTCCATCAGTCCAGTGGGAATCTCTGACCATTCCCTTGTACAAGTCTTAGTTTTTATTAATCACGTTAAGTGTAATAGTGCGTATTGGCACTTTAATGCTTCTCTGTTGGCCGACAACCATTTAAAAAATGTTTTTAAATTATTTTGGGAAAACTACCGTTTATCTAAGAGTGAGTACAATTCTCTTCAGCAGTGTTGGGATGTAGGTAAAGTGAAGATCAAGCAGCTTTGACTGCAGTACACTTTCAATGTCACAATGGACATGGCTAGATCTCTGAGAGCTCTGGAGAGAGAAGTGGTGGAGCTGCAGGGATTGGCAGACTCCACAGGAGAGCGAGAACATGTTGAAGTTTTCAAAAGTAAAAACTCAGCTCTGTCTGACCTGCTGGGGTTTTCTGCTCAGGGTGCTCTGGTCAGATCCTGGTTTCAGAACATCGTGAAAATGGATGCTCCCTCTCACTTGTTCTTTGGTCTCGAGCGTAAGAATTGTCAGAGGAGGCTGATGCACTCCCTGCGATCCAATGCTGGGCAGCTGCTTCAGGAGTCCGCCGACATTCGTCAGTGTTCTGTGGAGTTCTACAAAGAGCTCTACAGAACAGAGTTCCAGGCGCAGTCGTTCTATGAGGGCCTTCCTAACGTCCCTGAGGAGGACCATGCTGAGCTGGAGGCGGAGCTCTCTGCCCAGGAGCTGCAGGAGGCCCTGCAGAGCATGCAGAGTGGGAAGGCTCCTGGCATAGACGGCCTGCCTGCAGACTTCTATAAGGCTCTCTGGCCAGTTATAGGTGACGACCTGCTGAGTGTGCTCAGAGACAGTCTAAGTAACGGGAGGTTGCCTCTGAGTTGCAGGAGAGCTGTGCTCACTCTCCTCCCTAAGAAAGGAGACCGGCAGGAGATTAAGAACTGGCGTCTTGTGTCTCTACTCTGTACTGACTACAAGCTGCTTTCCAAAGTGTTAGCGACGAGGCAGAGAAAAGTGATGGAGCATGTCGTTCACGTAGACCAGACATACTGTGTACCCAGCAGGTTGATAACTGACAACGTGACTCTAATTCGAGATGTTTTGGACCTCTCCGGTTCATTGGCTGTGTGAGTTTGGTCTGATTTCTCTAGACCAAGAAAAGGCTTTTGACCGAGTTGAACACCAGTACTTGTGGCAGACGCTGGAAGCTTTTGGGTTCAGCTCTGGTCTCATAGCCAAGATCCAGGTATTGTACAGGGACCTTGAGAGTGTGCTGAAGATAAACGGTAGTTTGTGTGCTCCTTTTGAAGCTCAGAGAGGAGTCCGACAGGGCTGCTCTTTGTCCGGGATGCTCTACTCCCTGGCCATAGAGCCCTTTTTACACCGGGTCAAAGTTACAGGGTTTCTCTTTTCCTGGCTGTAGGGATGTTTTTAAATTGTCTGCGTATGCGGATGACATAATGGTCTTTGTTAAAAACAAGATGACATCAATGTTTTAACTGAAACTGTGAGCAATTTTTGCAAAATCTCATCTGCTCGAGTCAACTGGGGGAAAAGTGAGGCCTTAGCAGGAGGAGAGGGCAGTATTGACAGCTTGTTGTTACCTGGGGGCCTTGGTTGGAAAAGGGCAGGATTAAAGTACCTGGATATTTATCTTGGTGATGACACATTTTGTTTGAAGAACTGGGACGGGCTTATAGAGAAAGTGGAAGGCCGGTTAAAGAAGTGGAAGTGGATCCTTCCCAAACTTTCTTTTAAAGGGAGAATCCTTATTTTAAACCACCTTGTTTCCTCCATGCTGGCTCACCGGCTGGCGTGCACCGACCCACCCGTAAACCTGCTGTCCAGGGTGCAGGCTCTCATGGTGGACTTCTTCTGGGACCGCATGCACTGGGTCCCTCAGAGCGTCCTGTTCCTGCCAAATGAGGAGGGGGGACTTGGCCTGGTTCACCTGGCAAGCAGAGGGGCGGCCTTCAGGCTCCGGTTCATCCAGAGGTTCCTGACTGGACCTGCTGACCTGGTCTGGAGACCCGTAGCTCGGGCCTTATTGGAGCGCTGTGGTGGGCTGGGTCTGGCTGAGTCGCTGTTCCTAATGGACCTGAAAGGATTATGCCTGAACAATCTCTCGGGTTTCTATGGAGGTCCCTTCAAGGTGTGGGGACTACTCAAAAAAGAAAGACCAGAGTGCCGTGGCTCACTGTTCTGGCTCTTCAGAGAGCCGGTGGTCCGTGGATCTCGGTTTGTGTGTGGAGTAGGGCCTTCTCTACAACAGAGACTCTGTGAGGAGAGGATCCTCATGCTGGGCCAGGTGGTGGAGGTGTGTGGCCCCCGTCTGGACAACGCTGCAGGCCTGGCCTCACGTCTGAGCCTCAGGTCAGTCCGGGTGGTCAGCCTCCTGCTGCAGAGCTGGAAACAGCAGCTCAGCCGGTCAGAGCTGGCACTGATCGCTGCTCACTGTAACGGACTGAAGTCTCCAAATGACAATGACTCTTTTCCAGAGATGCAATGTTTTCCTGATCTCAGTTGTGAGGGTTTTTTGTTAAAGTTGGACAATGTTACTGATTTTAAGTTTAGCACCATGTCCAACAAAACATTTTATTATTTGGTGACAAAGGTGCTGAATCAGAGCAGACTCCAAGAGCGAGTGGACACCCTGGTGGAGAGCCCACCTGGGCCTGACGGAGGCTCAGAGGCCTGAGTGGAGAGCGCTCTACAGGCTGACTAAGAGGGGTGGGGAC